TCGCCGCCGCCGCGGCGTGCCTCCCCGGCGCAGCAGCGGCTCCCGTGGAATCCTCTGCGTCGAGCACCACTTTCTCGTGGTTCACGGAGGGTGGTGCGATACCTCTCTCTTTCCTCTTCGCCGTGAGCGTGTTTGCTGCCACGGCCGACCTCGTGCTCCGGCAGCTGCGCTGGCGGCGCAACAGCACGGCGACCTTCTCTCCGTCCGTCTTCTCGCCGCCGCCGTCGCCGCCAGAGTCTGGCGGCGGCCCGTCGGGGGTGAAGAGGACCTCGTCGGCAATGATGCGGGTCTTCGACGACAACAACGATGGCGTCATTGACGCGGCAGAACTTAGCAGCGTTGTCAAGGAAATTGCCGCGAAGGAGGCGGCGGAGCGGGAGGCCCAAAAGGAGGCCGCGAGGGAGCGTAAGATCTCTCGTGTCTTTCGGAGGTTTGCGCTCGTGCTGTTGCTCGCGCTGCTCGCCTCGGTCGGCATCAACGCGGGGCTGACCGCGGGGATCGTCATCGCCAATAAGGACACCGCCGTGACCAGCGACGGCACCTTGACCGTCAAGGGCACCGACGTCCTGGTGAGCACAGGCCCGACGCACGTCAACGGGGCGAAACTTGCCGACGACGGGGGATCCGTCCTCGGCGTGGGCAACGCGATGGCGAAGTTGCCGATCTATGCTCTGGCGGCGATGGACATCGACGATCTCCAGCGCGTCCAAACGCTCTCCATCTCTTACTTTGACGGGCCGACGAAGGTGCAGACGAACCTCCGGATCGAATCTCAGACCAAGCAGGGCAACATGGTTGAGCTTGTGAGCTCGCTGGGCTACAAGGTCGAGCTCAAGGGCACGCGCAATGCGCGTCTCATCACGCCCGACGGAGCCACATTTGCCATATGCGCGGCCAAGGCGGCCTGCTCGTCGCTGAGGGTGAAGAACGAGGATCTGCAGGTGTTGTACGATATCTCCCCGCATCTCCCCGTATCTCCCCACATCTCCCCACATCTCCCCATATCTCCCCATATCTGATCATAACCCCCCCCATATCTCCCCATATCCCCCCATACCTCCCCATGTATCGCTCCATATCTCTCCACACCTGCAGGCAGCAACCATATCTTCTCCCCACACCTCCCCACACCTCCCCACATCTCCCCTCATCTCTTTACATCTCCCCATCTCCGTCTCCCCTCATCTCCCCACATCTCCCCACACCGCCCCAAATCTCCCCATATCTCCCTGTATATCCCCTACCTGCCCCTCTCAGGCCTTTGAGGCGACGGCGCTCGACATGATGATTGCGGAGGAGGACGACGAGGACATGAACAACGCAAGCTATCTTGCTTATGATGACATCGATGATCTTTTCCCGAACACGAGCAACGCGCGCAACGCGAGCAACGCGAGCAACGCAATTAGTGGCCGCCGGCTCGATGTCACCAAGCGTCGGCGGCTCGCGCGGCGCAGCCTGCAGGGAGAGAACTGCGGGAGCTGGCCAGCTGACGGGAAGTTTGACCGGGGCGATTCTTTGCCGTATGACTCTATGTCTTACTATGACCAACTCAACGAGCCGGACGGTGTTGCCTGCCTTGCGTTTGACAGCGATTACATGCTCGCGTTCACACGCAATTGGTGGATTGCCTCGCGAGAAGAGGACACGTGGGGTTCCGGCTTTGGAAATGGCTGGAGCCACCTTCAATTCAAGCACGCTGACGTCACTATTGTTGTCCGAGACCGTGGGCCAGGGGACGAGTCCATTGAGCTCGAGCAAAAGGTCACGGAGCAGGTGTGCGTCCTTGCCGTGCGCGAGACGCAGCCGAGATGCAGCCGAGATGCAGCCGAGATGCAGCCGAGATGCAGCCGAGATGCAGCCGAGATGCAGCCGAGATGCAGCCGAGATGCAGCCGAGATGCAGCCGAGAATGAGAGCGTAATCGGTGCGACCACTTGGCGGCGACACCTGTCCAAGGCACGCCCCCGACACGTCCAAGACCCGTCCAGGTGTGCGTCGTGCATTATGGGGATGGCAGCGAGTTCGACTGGGATGAGTGCGCTTGTTCCAGCCCGTCAGCGCTTCCTCTCGCGACTCTGCACTTGGATGCGAGCATGACGACGAGCACACAATGGACGGACCTGTCTGGCAATGAGCACCACGGAGCGCTCGGCGGCTCGTCGTCACCCGTTCTCAACGAGCAGACCGGGAACAGCTACCTGACATTCAACGGCGTATCGCACTACGTGCCGCTGCAGATGCACATTCCCAGTGGCGCCGCTCCGATCACGCAGCTCACAGTCGAGGCGTGGTTCCGCACCTCGTTTGCAGTTTTGGGCTTCGAAAAAAATTGGGCCTTCCTAGACTTTGACCGCTCCGAGCACTTCAACTTCTATGTGCGGGGTGGTGGAAAGCTCGGGTTTAGTTGCAGGGATGCAGGGAGCAGGTTCAGCATCGTCCGAGACAGCCGCGAGGGCGACGACCAGAGCTCCCTCTCGGACGGCACGTGGCACCACGCCATCGTCACATTCTCGGCTGGTACCACCACCTTTTACCGTGACGGCGTGCAGAGCAGCTACCAAGGGAACTCGTGTGTCAACGGTGTCGGTGGTGGGCGCACACGATATGGTTTCGTCGGCGACGGCTCGGAGGCCAGTTTATACGACGGTGCCAGGAATCGAAAACACTACAGCGGTGACATTGCTGTCGTGCGCTACTTCAATGGCTACGCGATGTCCGCCGCTGAGGTGCAGAATGAGTTCAACAGCCGCAAGGCACGCTTTGCATCGCCGTTGCTACCACCGTCATCTGCGTGGTTCGACGCCTCGGAGTCGTGCTCCCGGTCGGCGTTGACATCGTTTGGGTGGAGCTTCGACAGCTCGTCCGACAACCTCGGCTGCAACGGTGGCGGCTTCTACTTGTGGTGTGGAGGATCCTGCTCGTACGGTGCCAGCATCACCTTGCCAGCTGGAGCTTCCGCATTCACCATCGAGTACGGAAATGCGTGCCGGTATGGAGGGGATGTCAAGGTGGAGCTCGATGGCGTCGAGCTCGATCGCATCCGCTCCTCGTGTGGCAGCAGGGGATGCTACCAATATCCTCCGGTCGAGACCTGCCAGCACACGTTCACTGCCACGTACTCCGGCACGCCAACGCTCAGGGTGGTCGAGACGGGTACGAGCATCGCTTTCATCGAAAGGGTTCTTGTGGACTTCCCATAGTCAACCTCCACCGCCGCCAGCGTCTAGTAGCAAGAAAATCTCCCCGGCGCAAGAAAATCGCTCGCTCGCTCGCTCGCTGACTCGTTTCTATTCCGTGCGAGGGAGCTTTGTTGTAAAATTCTATTCCGTGTAAAATTCTATTCCGTGAGACAGAGTTGTTGTAAAATTCTTTTCCGTGTTTCTCTTAATCTCTACCGCCCCCTCTTGTTTCCTCTCTAGTTTCCCCTTTCCCAGGGGAAAACGCTGAAATTTATCAATTTTCCAGGCAGGCTCTGAGCCGAGTCTGAGCTGGTTTGGCTTTGGGACCAAAATCAGCCAAATCGGCAAGCGCCGCAGACAGCTTGGCGCGCCGCCGCTGCAGCCGCCGCCGCCGCCGCCTCTCGCCCGCTTGTGCCGGTGTCGGCGCCTCGATGCCACGCACCCACACCGGCGCCGCGGGGTTCCAAACCTCCTCCTCCCCCTCTCCCTCCTCCTCCTCCGCCGCCGCCTCCGCCGCCGCCGCTGCCCCCGCCTCCTCCTCCGCCGCCGCCGCCGTTGAGTCCTCGCCCGCCGGCGCCGGCGCCGCCGCACGCCGCGCTGCGGCGAGGGCAGCTCTCTGGCACACCGCCACCAGCTGGGCGCCTGCGTCTCACGAGCAAGGTCGGGTGAGCTCGGCTGATCTCGGGTGAGCTCGCCACCGCCACCAGCAGCGCGCCACTCAAGCCGTGCGCCTGAGGCGAGGGTGAGGGGCGGGTGTCGCTGTCACGGCGACAGCGTCAGTGTGAGGGGCGGGTGTCGCTGTCACGGCGACAGCGTCAGTGTGAGGTGGTGGCGGTGGCGGTGGCGGTGGCGGTGGCGGTGGCGGTGGCGGTGGCGGTGGCGGTGGCGGTGGCGGTGGCGGTGGCGGTGGCGGTGGCGGTGGCGGTGGCGGTGGCGGTGGCGGTGGCGGTGGCGGTGGCGGTGGCGGTGGCGGTGGCGGTGGCGGTGGCGGTGGCGGTGGCGGTGGCGGTGGCGGTGGCGGTGGCGGTGGCGGTGGCGGTGGCGGTGGCGGTGGCGGTGGCGGTGGCGGTGGCGGTGGCGGTGGCGGTGGCGGTGGCGGTGGCGGTGGCGTCACGACTTCTGGTGGCTATGGCATTGGGACATCGTGCCAGAACATCCGTTCCATTCAGGACTTCGAGTGTCCTAATCCTGACGTCCTTTGTGACTGTACCTTTCGAAATCCACTGGACGATTGGGTGGCGGCGACCGACAGCTTCGGCGTTCTCGTCGACGCTGGCGGCGCGGCGGTCAAGACCTTTGCCACCACGAATGGCGACAATCACATCACCTCGCCAAACGGGCAGACCGTCAGATTTGCCCGTATGCATTCTTCGGGCAACATGGACCGTTCCTCCCTGATGGGGCGCGATGCGCTTCCTTTCGACAGCACGTGGGAGCGATTCCAAGTCGTTGATGCAGGTGCAGGCCAAATCGCGCTTTACAGCTGGATACACGGCAGATTTGCCCGTATGAATTCCAACGGCAATATGGACAGTTCCCCCCCGGTGGGGCGCGATGCGCTTACACGGTTTCCCCACTGGACGTAAACACCTCTCCGACGCGCTCGACTATAGTCTGTGGGAGCGATTCGACGCTGCCAAAGGCGATACCGCACTAGGCCGCCCCGCGCTCTCGCGCTCCGCACTTCACCGCCTCCGCCCCTTGCCGACAGTTGAACGAGCTCGCCAGCGACTCGCTGATGCAGTGGTGCGCCGCGTCGCAGAGAGACGGAACCTGTGCCTCTCTCGGCACACAGAGGAGCGGGCGAGAAATAGGTCGATCAACGACACCCCTGCGACGCCTCCGACCACTGCAGCGGCTCGGGCGGCGCGACGGAGACCTCACGCAGCACCCAAAAGTCGTAGTTGCCGCCATAGTCCGTCTCCGGGTCGTACAGCACGTTGGTCTGCGGGTAGCCGGTGCCGTAGAGTGGTGTCGCGATGAGCAGGTCGGGCATCAGGTAGAGGGTGTGAACCCCGGCGGCCTCGCGGAGCACAGGAGGGTAGCCGCCCCACTCTGCGACGGCATCCATGGCAAGATCGTACGTGTTGAGCAGGGCGAGCGGATCGTCGTACGCGTACACCCACGAGCTCGGCACCGAGAGCAAGAACTTGTCCGTCTCCAAGTCGGCCCACGGCGCGGCCGCAGTGCGCCGCGCCACCCAGTTGGCGTTGCTCATCTGGTCGAAGGACGTGCGCCGGAAGAAGGGCGCACGCACGACGCCGCCGCTGATCTCGACGCTCAGCACGCCGAGCGAAGCCCCATACGGCACCAGGATGTAGACGCCGCCGCCGAGTGGGCTCGTCACGAGCGTCGAGGTGCCGTCGATAGCCGCCGTCACGCTCACGCGGTCCATTCGCTTGTGCATGTTCTTGGGCGCATGGTCGTGCGTCTGGCAGCCGATGAGCACCTTGAAGCCTCCCGCGGCCGCCAGCGCCGGCGGTGCCGTCACGTTGGCCACCGCTCCAGGCGCCAGGCAGAGGCCGGTCGGCTTCTTTGCGTCCTGATGGCCGTAGCCGACGGGGTGGCCCCACGTCAGCGGGTGCTCGAGCTCGAGCTGCACGCTGTGCACCACCGACGGGTCGGAGGGCGGCGCACACGCGCCAGGCACGTACTCGGCGGTGAGCCACGCGCGCCCCTGGAACAGGTGGATGCTGCACGGGGCGACGACGCCGGGCGCGCTGAAGGCGTGGTCGATGAGCGCCTGCTGCACGACGAGCATGGCACGGTGCGTGTCGCGCCCGTCGCCCACGTCCTGCCCGCGCATGAACGGCCCGCTCGAGACAAAGAGCGGGCCGTACGTGGCGCTCGCCTCGAAGGCGTCGACCAGGTCGAGCGCGCGCACCAGCAGCGTCTCGTTGACGCCCAGCTGCTGCCCGTGCCTCTCGATCGTCGCCGCCTCCGTCGCCAGCTGCGCGCCGCTCAGCTCCACCGTGCCGGCGATGTGCGAGTGCAGGCTCTCCAGCGCGTCCGCGAGCTGCGCCTCGTACCCACCCGTCTGGGAGCGCCGATAGGCCACCTCGCCGTCGGCCAGGCTGCGGCCGTAGAATGCGTGGCCGAAGGTCGTCGCCGCAAGCTCGCAGCCACGGATGCAGCCGCCACCCGGGCGCGCGGATCGAGGGCGGCTCCCCCGTCTCCTATGACTACATGGCGGCGCCCGCCGCGCGAACCGACCGCTTTGCCCCTCCGGCGTCCGCATCCTTGCAGCCCGGGCGGAGCGCGCCTGAGATCCTCTTTGCAGGCGCGCGCGTTCCGCCGAGAGTGGCCTCCCAGCGAGCCCGATTTTTCCACTGTGCTCCCGCCGCCTCCATGTCCCCGACCCACCGTCCTAGCTTCGTCGGAGCGTCGCGGGGCGATCTCCTGCGAGAAGGGCTGCCCGCTGGCCTGTCGGATGAGCGCTGGCGTGGATCTAGTGTCCCGCACGGCCGAGGCGGGAAAGGTGCGCAGCCGGAGCCACGTTTCGAATGCCTCGCATACCTGGTCGCGCAGCGCCTCGTCGGTGCCTCTCTTCCCCATGGGGAATGGGTTGCCGAGCCCGGTGCCTCTCATGATGTTGACTGGCAAGGGGCGCGGGACTGTGTCCGCTCCCGTGTCGCGCGTCTCCGCTCGTCGGCTTCCGGCGACGACCACCCTGATCGAAGGCTCGGCATCCCCCTGTCCGCCGCTGGGTGTGCCCCCGCTCGTGTCGCGCCTCGGGCTGGCGGTCCTCGGGGGGGGGCTTGGCTGCTCCGCCTGGCGTGTGTCGCTGCTGCCTCCAGGCCTCGACCCCCCATGCGACGGTCTCTCCCGTAGTGTATACGTGTGTGTACCTGTGTTAGTGCCAGCCAGTGCGCGCCAGTCTTCCGTGCCCAGAAAAAAGGAAGAAAACGTACAATCCAAAAGAGGGATGGGAGGACGGCACGCCGCCACCATACATGGATTTCACTCCGTGCCCAGTGTCGTGCGATCTTTTACATTCTTTTTTATTTTGTTGTGCCAGGAAGTCCCCTGTAAAATTCTTTTTGTTTGCACGACCTGTGTCCAGGCAAAACCTGGCAGCGCAAAAAAAACGCACTAAGCTCGCCGGGGGATGGTAGGGTAAAAGAAAGAAAGAAAGAAAACGGACAACCCAAGGGAGGGTACTTGTAGTATAGTAGGGTGAGAATTATGAAAAAAACCGGAATTCGGACGGGTACTCTCGCCTGCACAAATTCGATAAGTGGGACAAGGAGGGATGCGTCCAGGATGCACGTCCTGCAGTTTGAGGTGTGCTTTCGTTCCCTCTCCTCGGTGACCAAACGACGAGCTGGAGAGCTGGCGACCGAACGCGACCCGAGGGTGGCTGGCGGCGATGGACGACCGAGCGGAGACGCAACGAATCGAGGAGCGGCTCCCGCAGGGAACCGACGAGTGGCTCGCGAGACCTCGGCTGTCGACGACTTCGCGAGGAACGATCACGCCGGTGGCAATACTGCAGCCGCTGTCCGCGCCGGTCGGCGACGTGGTGATGTACACCGGGCCGTTGCAGCCGATGGGGCAGCTCCACGGGATCGGCAGGGAGTTCGGTGGCGGGACACAACCGTTGCCTGCATGCATTGTTCGGGAGGCCGGCGAAGGCGCGATCACACAAGATGAGCGCAGAGGCGACGTCGGGCCGACGCGAGCAAAGAAGACGAGGCGGATGGATCGGCGCCTCACTCACTGGCAGTGCATCTACTGCCGGCGCGAGACGCGGAACGATGCACGGGCGACGAGGTGCTGGAACTGCGATGGCGAGAAGGAGCAGCTGCGTGACGCGGACAGTGAGGGGCGCGAGGCGGCGCGCCGCGGGCAACGTGCGAAGGAGTACGCTGGCAGATCGCTGAACGCGCTCGGCGCTGGCACGTCGCTGGTGCCGCGAGCCGCGCAGGGAGTGTTCGAGCGGGCGCGGTTGGAAGTGCTCGTGCACTGGGAGACGCAGCAGCTCGAGCAGTACACGGGGGCGGCTTCTTACCTGCGAAAGGAGGAATGCATGCTCGGGGTGATGGAGTCGTACTACGTCGTGCAGACGGGCGCTCGGGTGAGCGTGTTTGATGAGGTTAAGCGGTCCCTCATGACGGGCTCACATACCCCAATTCAGTTTCTTCTTTTTCACTGCGCGCGGCCCGCACACGTATGTCGCACGCGCACCCCCAGACGACGCGGGACGACTCACCCTGGCCGGACGCGTACTCGTCGTACCTCTCACCCTGGCCGGACGCACTCGTTACCAGTCGGGGGGGCGTTGGCGACAACCGCCGCAACTGCAGCGGCGGCGGACAAAGGCAATGACGCGCAGCCTTCCGACGGGAGCAAGACGTTCTCCGATGGGAGCAAGATGTTTGGGTCAAACCTGAACACCGACTGCATTTGTTGCATCCTCGACCTAGTACGTCTCGATGACCTAGCTGCCCTGGCTAGAACGAACCGCAGAAGTTACGCTTTCATGAGCTTTCACATGCGTTGGCACCGCGAAGATTGGTCCGCATGGCTCATTCAATTCGAGTGGCGGTACCTGCTCGAGCGACGGATGGACCGCGCGAACGATGAAGCGAACGATCGCCAAGGTGCCAACGCGCGGGGATGGACCGACGATGACATAAGTCATAACCTTGTGGCTGAACTGGGGGGGTGAGATTTTGGACCTCTGTGCATTGTGGCCTGGGTGGGCAGACCGCTCTTCTCTTGAGTAACGTCGAGTAACGTGCGCGAGAATTAATGCTGCAGTGAGTTACAGTTCCTCAATTTCTTTCTTTCGTTCCACCCCGTTATCCCCTACACGCAACACGCTACAGATCAGAGAGAGAAGTTTTAGGTATGTTGTTGGCAAACAAACACATAGCATCCCCCAAATTACCTCGTGTTCTCACGAATAGCGCTTGCGTATTCTTTTTCTCAGCACCGACAGGCGGTTCCCTGTGTGTGCTCATGCCTCCTCGTGCTTCACGAGTGGCGGCGGCCTACGAAGCGGCGGTCCCTGGCCAGGTGCTGTACGCGGAGCTACGGCTCGCTGAGGACGAGCTCACCCTCTCGCGCCACAAGACGGAGGCGCTCGAGAATCTGCTCGACGCCCTGCAGACCGAGGTGGAGGGCCTCACCCGGAAGTGGCAGCTGGAGCGGCGGGCGCGGCTGGCGCTCGAGCGGATCGTCACGGACCGCGGCGGCGGCGCGACGGACAGCCGGTGGGGCTCCTTCTCGTTTGGGATCCACCTGCCATTCCTCCTCGAGCAAGTGCGGGGCTCCGCCTCGGACGCTCCGGCGCGGGTGGCGGAGGCGGCGGCCGGCGGGCCGCGAAGCGAGCGGGACGACGGCAGCTCGGAGCGGAGAGTCGGCCTCGCAAACGGCGCCTCGCCCTCGTCTACGCCGGCGCTCACGCGCGAGGGCTCGGGGCCGTCGGTGTTTGAGCAGCTGATGCCTCAGCGGCGGACGCCGGGGCTGGCGCCGCCGAAGGTGCTGTACTACGGGCAGCCGTCGGAGCTGGTGATGCGGCCCGCGAAGCCGGAGCTTGCCCTCGCCCTCGGAGGGCCCAAGGTCGCACCCGACTATCGCGAGTGGGCCGAGCCTCTGCATGGTGCGGCGCTCTCCTCTGCCCTTGCGCTCCTCTGCCCCTGCGCTCCTCTGCCCTTGCGCTCCTCTGCTCCC